TCCCCAAAATATACTCAGGGATAGGAGATATATACACAGTATACTCTTTTGGGGGTAGATGCCCTATTCCCAAAGGGATGTGGGCTTTTTTTACTCTGATAGCCTTCTCCCCATATCCATCTATGATAGTGGGGGTCCTGGGGAACTGCTCAGGGTTACCATGAATCAGTGAACATTGAGCCCCTGTGTCCAACAGAGCCAGAACACATTGTATGTTCACTGGTGACCAATGGATAAGCTATTTCAACATGTGGCCTCTGGTCCCACTCTGGTCTCTCAGAACAGATACCCTGACCTTTCCCTCAGTCAAACCATGTTCCCCAATCACCTTCCTGTGTGGGCTCAAGTGAGGTTGGCTCGTTCTCCAGCAGGAAGTCTTGCAAACATATAGGCCAGACTCAAGGCTTTGTCTCTGACCTCTGTCTCTTTGGTCTTAATGACTGGAACTGCTGCTCTGGTTTCAGCCATTGCCATAGCTCCACTAAATCCTACTGGACTTTCCATCTAATTTCCTTCCATCTGCTCCTACCTGTATTAAATCAATCCACATCTGGGTCCTTGTAACCATCATGGGGCCCTGTAAATTCTTCTTGTGAGTAACAGGTCTTATTTCTTTCTGGATTCTTGTTGCTTCTGTCTCTCCTAAGTCTGCTACTGTACGTGTCACCTCGCTTGTGGGGTGTCCTGAGGGGAAAGAATGGCCACTAGAAACCCAGAGGGATGTAGGAGCCATTTGAAGTATAGTATTTCTCATCCCACTAGTGAAAATCTCTTCATCTGGGTTATCATTCTCTGGACTATAGATGGCATTTCTTATGCCTAGCTCTCATAGCACCTGTTGGAGCTCAGCATGTCTGCCATCTAACAGGAGAGGATTGCAGATCATCCAGATTGGGCCACATAGCACAAAGTGCAGCCATAAGCCAATCAAAGAGAGGGTGACTCCCTGGGGTCTGATGTGCACTTTGTAATTACTGCCTCAAGGCAGACTGCACTGTCAGGGAAGATAGCTTTCCCATCTCTGATCCCAACAGAACAATTCCATCCACACCTAAGTTCCACAGACGCAGGAGCCAAGCTGATATTGACTCCGAGGGCTTCTGCCTAAACCAGGAGCCCAAATCCACCAGCTCAGCCTGAGTACAGGGGCAGACCATAAAGTGCTCCATGACCTGGGGAGGGGTCTACTCCTCTCCTCAGGGAACTTTCCACTGCTGGATCTTTATTTTCTTTACAACCACTGGGCATGCTTTCAATACAAGAGGCACCAGTGCCTCTGCCACCACTCCTTCATCCTGCTCTAGCTCCTCCATTTCTGGGGCTGATGGCACCTTTCTCTCCCCTGCCCCGAGTGCCTCCTCTGCTACAAACTTTACCTTTTCTACTGTGCTTCGCAGCAATGCTGCCTCAGTCTTCAGGTCTCTTACCTTCAGCTCAGTGCTTTCGCACCTGGCGTTCTTGCACCACCTCCACCTGTGCTTCCCTCAGGAGATCATCTTTTTCCTTAGTGGCCTCTTCCTCCTTTAAACCACCTGGTAGCGCTGCCATCTCATCTCTAATGGCTCCTTGCTGCCGGCACTCTCGTGCTGCCTCCTCCCACATCAAGGCCATTTCCTTCCTCAGGGAATCTACTTAAGTATGCACCTCGCGTTCTCACACGCCATTTCTTGGGTCTCCTCTGTAGACCTTTTTTAAGACTGTGAGAAGCAGCGAACCCATAGTCCCCACTGCCTCCTGGGCACTCTGCTTCTCAAAGGATCTGCTTACTCTACCAAGAGCCACCCCTACTGCCTTAGATGTCACCTCCACTTGCCTCCAGTCCTGGGGTGGGGCCCAGTCCTCCAGGAGGCAAGCCACCTCAGACCACATACCCATTGGGGGATGATCCACTGTTTCCCCATTCACAGGGGCAGCCCGCTGAAGCACTCCTCCCGTTAGGGCAGCCTGTCTTTTTCCTTGGTCAACAGTGAACCCTGCCAATTTTCACCAATTGTCTTGCCAGTGGGTTTCAGCCTTGGGCAAGTTTGCTATGGATTCAGTGTGACCAAAGAAATTGACAGCAAAACGCCCTTTGTGGTGAAGGGTTTATTACCCTGCTTGTTCTCTGGCAGTAGGTGGAGCACTAGGCCAGCTCTCTATATAGTGCAATAATAGCTTATTGCCTTAAGGTGTGGAAGCGGCAGTCCAGCAACAGGCCAGTTACATTGTCAGGTTGAGACAGGGATGGTGGGTGTAGTCAGAGGAGGGTGAGGGCCTGGGGGTGGGGGGAGCAGGGTGGAATATTTAGTCAGAGCAATGTAACAATGGGCAAAGAAGTTCCCATTGAAACTGTTAAGCATTATGCAAATTCAAGATCACACTAATTCTCTAGGGAAAGATAGCTAAGAATATAGACATCTTCAGTGAGATCAGTTAAAGGTCAAAAGGCCAGAAGCAACTTGGCCTGGAATGTTTGAGTGTTCTGCAAGGGTATCAGCTTAACCCGTGACTCCACTGTCAGCCCTAGCAATCAGACTATGACCCAGCCCACCTTGAGGACAGGGCAGGTGATGCAAGTCCACACCCCTAAGTTTTTTTCATGTTCTCAAAAAATCCTCAACTGCCCAAAAAACCCCCTAGACAACACACCGCTAGGGGCTCTCTTGTCCCCTCCTGGCATGAGCCAGGAGCTCTATTCTCACTTTATTTCTAAATAAAAGCCTGTACCTTGCTCACCTACCTTGACTGTTTGTGAAGCTCATACTTCAGCTCCGCAAACAAGAACCCTGGCATCAAGGTGGTTTAAGTTCAGTGAGGATTATGGCCATAGGAACCCCAACTTCCCCACAGGGGATTAAGAGGCATCATGATTATTAGCACACATAATGTAGAGGGTCATGAGGAAGGCAGTATATATAGTACACAGAAGACAAGCAGTGACTCTATAGCATTTGACTATGCTGATGGACAGTGACTGTAATGGGGTATGTGGTGGGGACTTGATAATAAGGGGAAGGTAGTAACCACAATGCTGCTCATATGAAATGTGAAGATTGTATATCAATGATAAAATCAATCAATCAATTAAATGGCATAAAAGTCATAAAAGACCTCAGGGGAAAAAAGGTGTGCTTTTTGAAAGGCCTCTAGCTATTGAGGACCATTTGAAGCCTTGATAAGCGATATTTAGTGCTTTAAATGAAGAATTAAAAAAAATCTCTCAAAACACTTGTAAGATCTTTATTCCAATTCTAAGTAAAACCCAATTCAGCTTTAGATAAGGAGCATTATGAAGTGTGGGGTTTTTTTTTTCTTTGAATAATTTCTGGTTTCATACCTTTGTGGTCTGAGAAGCTGGTTGGCATGTTTTTAATCTTCTCAATTTACTGAGGCTCTTTTTGTGGCCTAGTATGTGATCTGTTCTGGAAAGTGTTCCATGTGCACTTGAGAAAGCTGTGTATCCTGCTGCTTTTGGGTGGAGTGTCCTTAGATGTCTGTTAGGCCCATCTGTTAGGTCCATCTGTTCTAATGTGTTCAGTGCCTCTGTCTCCTCACTTATTTTCTGTCTGGTTGATCTGTCCTTTGGAGTGAGTGGAGTGTTGAAATCTTCTAAAATGAATGCATTGCATTCTATTTCAGCCTCTAATTCTGTTAGGAACATCCAAATACATGAAACAAATACTATGTTGAGTACATAGATATCTGTAGTGGTTATATCTTATTGTTGGACTGACCTCTTTGTCATTACATAATGTCCGTCTTTGTCTCTTGTTACTTTTTTTGTTTTTGAAGTCTATTTTTCTGATACAAGTACTGCAACTCATCCTTTTTTCTCCCTATTATTTTCATGAAATATCTTTTTCCATCCCTTCACTTTTAGTCTGTGTGTGTCTTTGGGTTTGAAGCGAGTCTCTTGTAGGTAGCATATAGATGGGTCTTGCTTGTTTATCCATTCTGTAACTCTGTGTCTTTTGATTGGTGCAGTCAATTTACATTTAGGGTTATTATCAATAGATATGTACTTATTGCCACTGCAGTTACCGAAGGTTCAAGGGCAGCTTCTTTACTATCTAACAGTCTAAGCTTAACTTGCTCATTACAGTAGTTCAAACATAATCTAAAGGTTCTTTTTTTCCCCCCTCTTTTTCATCCTCCTCCACTCTGTTTATTTTAGGTGTCATATCCTGTATTCTTTGTGTATCCCTTGACTGACCTTTTGGGTAACTGATATAATTTTGCATTTGCTTAGTAATTACTTGGTCTACTACCTTTACTATGGTTTTATTTTCTCTCGTGACAGCTATTTAGCCTTTGGAGCAGTCCCTTTAAAATACTCTGTAGAGATGGTTTGTGGAAGGTAAATTCCCTCAACTTTTTCTTATCTGAATATTGTTTAATCCCTGCTTCAAATTTAAGTGATAATCTTTCCAAGGAGAGTATTCTTGGTTGGAGGCCTTGTTTCATTTCATTAAATATGTCATGCCACTCCTTTCTGGCGTGTAAGTTTGCTGCTGAGACGTCTGCTGATATCCTGATGGGCCTTCCTTTGTATGTGATCTTTTTTCTCTCTCTGGCTTCTTTTAATACTCTGTCCATGTCCTTGATCTTTGCCATTTTAATTATTATATGGCTTGGTGGTGTCTTCCTAGGGTCCCTTGAGTTGGGAGATCTTTGCACTTGCATGGCTTGAGCGACTCTTTCCTTTCCTAGACTGGGAAAGTTTTCAGTATTTCCTCAAAGCTGCATTTTCTTCTTTTCTCTTCTTCTTCTTTTGATACCCCTGTAATGTGAATATTATTCCATTGGGATTGGTTGCAGAGTTGTCTTATTATTCTTTCATTCCTAGAACCTTTTTTCTCTCTGTGCCCCAACTTCTTTATATTCCTGTTCTCTAATTCCTGTTCCATTGACCTTCTCTTCTAATCTGCTTTTAAATCCCTCCAGTGTGTTTCATTTCAGATACTGTATTTTTCATATTTCTCTCTCTCTCTTGAAGTTGTCCCTGAGATCTTGAATATTTTTCAGTAGCTCTGTGAGCATGTTTATGATTTTTATTTTGAAACCTTTATCAAGAACATTGGTGACTTCAGTTTCACTGAGCCCTCTTTCTGGTGGTTTGAGGTATCCTGGTTTGTACAAAATTCTTTTGCTGTTTCATAATTCTGATGATGACTATGGAACAATACCTTTGTGTAGGTGGTACCCTCTAGAGCCCAGCTCTACTCTCTGGAGCTATCCAGCACCTGGAACGATGGTGGGGTCACAGGTATGCAGTGCTAGTGCCTGCCAGGAGGAAAAGCTCTTTTGGTAGCATGAAAATGCTACCTGGCTGCAGTATCTGCATCCACTGCTAGGTCCAGTAGGCTGAGAATGGAGGTAGGAAGCTCTGTGTTATGCCCCTGTAGGTACCCTAGGTGGAGCTGCCTGCCACGTGACCTGGTGCAATGGTGGTGGCATCAGCTGTGTGGAGTCATGCCCGCTGGGAGGAATGAGTGGCAGGCTGCATATCACAGTGAGGGGGGCCTTAGCACTGCACTGCCAGCCAGGGGGATGGAGCATCTGATGGTCCTGAATGTTCCTAACCTGCTGGGCTGAGTTTGCTACTTTACCCTTTTTTTTAAGGTCTTTTCTTTTCTGCAGAGGTAGGCAGTGTGTTGCTGTCTTTTGGGTCACTCTTTTAGGGTTACTGGTATTTGCTGTATTTTCATTACATGTGGTTTTGGGAGGTGGTTTCTGCCTCAGTTCTCTCACTGTCAGCCATCTTTTTCCCCTCCATGAGACAAGTACATTTTACATTTCTTTCAGATCATATAGTTTTTCCTCAAAATCTGTGCATATTCCTGTGACGTCTTCAAAAGTAGAGCTTGAGTTGGAGTTAACCCATCCATAGATCCTAGAGGAGCAGCTATAGAGGATTCAAATTCAAATTTAGCAGCATCTGGAAAGAAACAGAAACAATTATACTCTTCATATAAAATACTTTAGAGTTAACATGTATGAGTTAATAAAAAGAAGTTGGGGCCTTTAAGAGTGTTAAAAATGAAAAAAATCTCTACACAACTGCGGTACAAAATACAAGACTACTAGGAAATATAACTTGCCCATAGTTACACACAATTAATTCCAATTGTGGCTAAGTATCAGAGCTTCTGGTTTTCTTATTACAAGATGGAACTATAGAAGATAAAGATGACACAGTTCACCGTGACAACCATATTCTGTAAACGGGAAAAACAGACCGACAGCCAGTTCCCACACAGTCAGGTATACCATGACAGGTATAAAACAGGGTGCTGTTAGAAAACACAGAGGGGACATCCAAACTGATATTGCAGGAAAAGGGAAAGATGTGCCAGATAGAGGGAAGAAGCATCTGCAAAGAGCTAGAGGTGAGGAAGAACATTTGTGGAACTGTAAGTAGTCTAGTTCAGTGAAATGCTAGAGCAAATGTGCAGAGTAGGGTAAGTAGCAAGAGATGAGACTGAAGGACTTGGCAAGCACCAAATTTTATTTGGGTGTTTTTATTCCTTGCTAAGGTATTTGTAATTTTTCGTGAGAGTAGAAAGACAAAACCAATGACCAAGTCAATGGCTAGAGATTTAAATGTCATCCTTCAAGTGACACTTAAAATTGCCTATTAGTAGGTGCGTCTTGGTTTTTTGGCCTTAAATCACTGCCAGAAACATGAGAAGCTGACAAAGCCCATGTGTTCTGAGAAGTGCAGGATAAGAGTTCTAAAGGAATAGCAGAAGTAAAAGAAAAGGTATAGCCAAAAATAAGAACAGACTGATGGATGTGTTGAGATTTTAAAAAATCTATGGAACATGCTGAATAAATGAGGAAGAAGTATATTCTTCACTATGAATGGCTGTGCCCTCACATTTTCTTATTAGATATGTATAAGAAACAAATATTTACATAATACCTATTATCTGAACAATGGAAAGAGTTGCTATTTACTATTCAGAGTTCATTTCAGAAAGCAGTGACATCTAAATTTAATTAATACATTTTGGCAACATACCTTCTTTTTGTGCTCTAGTTATATTTTTGTCAAATTCTTGCTCCATCTGAAATAAGTCAAATATTATTTGTCATTTTTAAGTTAAGCAAGACATTATCATGTGAGTGACACATAGCTGATGAAGTATGGCCTTTAACTAATAGTTTTAGAGACTAGACTTACCTTAGGGATTGCTTACACAGAAAAATAATCACATGAATAAAATAAATTCCTACTTAATTTTAGATAACATATCTGCAATGTTATTTTGATTAATCTGATAAAAAGTACAATATTGGTGTGTGTTAAATACATGATTTCAGAAAGGTGATATTTGATCTTACTATTAAGAAGAAATTTAAACAATTCAAGTCATATTATACACTGACTGCATTACTTTGCAAGACTTAGAAAAACTATCCTGTATACAAGCTTTATCAGTTTTTTTACTCTAATGAATTTTTCCTTCAAAAGGGCATTCTATTATTGTACTTTTAGATAAGGTATAATCTGTGCTATTAATTTTTCAGCACAGGATCTTAAATACGTAAAATGAAGAAAGTGGGACTGTAATAACAATTTCATGTAAAAATTCCTGCAAAAAGTTAAGTGAAATCATTTTTCTATCTGTACTATGACTACAAAATCTCTCTCTACTGCATATGGAAACAAAGATTTCAGAATATCTGCTTGAAGAAAGGGAAATTAGAGGCTAGAGCCAGTTTTCAAACCTAATTTCTGACTCATAACTTCCTAGAATTAGAAACAAGGCAAATAATACTCAATTCTTTAATGACGATTTTGTTGCCTTTCTGGAAAGTAGGAGTTTTGATGCATCTTTTTCAATATGCAGCTTTTCACGAAATTTAAAATGTGTCAGTTTAGTTTCACTTACTGAATAGAGTTAAGATTAGGTATCTCTTGAAAATGAGAAATCCAACAACTTTAAAAAATAAAATTTCTGTCTCCTTTCTCAGAAGCACAAATAATTATGACTTTTAAATAGTGAGCACTAATCAGTTAAACAACTAGAATTTCAACAAATTAAGAACAAGAATTACATCACAAATTTGAAACCTGGGGGAAAAAGGATAGTATAACTAACCTTGGCAAAGAATGTGTCCATTTCCTTCTCTCTATGTTTGCTATTGATCTCTGCTAACTTCACAGTAATCCTGTGGAGAGTGGTGTAAACAAATGCTTATTATTTCATTTTTCCCTAAGTGATACCTAAATGCCTTGCATTAAAAA